AAGCCCGGCTATTTTTTTTTTTTTTGGTTGCATCCATCATTGTTGTTTGGCAGGCCCAGGCTGGATTTGAACCTGCCACCTTGGGTGTACGTGGCTGGCACCTTAGCCACTTGAGCCACAGGCACCGAGCCGGAACATTTCTTTTTACCAAAAGACTTCCTAAGTTTCTTTCAGTTTCAAAATTTGGCATATTAGGAATGGCGACTGACAAAGATAATTTGCTCCTAGGTTAAAGTGACAACTGGAAAGAACAGTAACAAATTGGGACTGTGAAATCCTGATTTAGAAAGGCAGTTGGGAGTGAGCATTTGGGAGGAGGTGGTTACAAATGGTTGTTTAAAATAACATTTGGGAGTAGGTGGTTCATGGGACAAGGAAGTATCTGAAGAAAGTGAACTAATAACAGTTCTTTGGGGTAGAGTATCACAGCAATTTGAATTTTACATTAACTATTCCTTTCATCATCTTGTGCCTAAAACCAGGCACATCACTTGCTGAGACTGTATCTATATACATATATGTATATAAATGTATATAAAATGTATATATCTATATATATATATACATATATATGTGTATATATGTATATAAAACTGTTATGCAAATAAAATAGCTAATAAAAAGAGGATTCAAAGCTAGTCCTTCACCTACAAGTCCCAAACCAGAAGCAACCAGAAGTAAATGATGTCAAACGGAATCTGAGCATAGGGGAAAGGTACTTAGGAACATAATGTTGACCTCATTTCCCCTGTCACCTCCTGGTATGTTCCCCTGTTCCCATTTATAGCAGAAATTCTCTAAATAATTGTTAGCACTTGAATCTATATTTCCACCCATTCCATTCCCTTTTAAAACAATTAATCGGGCCAAGTGCTGTGGCTAACACCTGTAATCCTGGGAGGCTGAGGTGAGTGGACTAGTCTGAACAAGAACAAGATCCCATTGCTACTAAATAGGAAAAAACTAATCCGGCATGGTGGCAGACGCCTGTAGTCCTAGCTACTTGGGAGGCGGAGATAGGAGGATCACTTAAGCCCAAGAGTTTAAGGTTGCTGTGAGCTTTGATGCCAAGGCATTCTACCAAGGGCAACAAAGTGAGACTCTGTCTCAAAAGAAAAGAAAGAAGGGAGGGAGGTAGGTAAGAAGGACGGAAGAAAAGGAAGGAAGAAGGAAGGAAGGAAGGATCAAACTTTCTTTTTTTTTTTTATAAATGTTGCAACTTTTATTTTTTATTTATTTATTTTTTGGCCGGGGCTGGGTTTGAACCCACCACCTCCGGCATATGGGGTCAGCGCCCTACACCTTTGAGCCACAGGCACCGCCCCAAGGATCAAACTTTCAATTCACCCACCCTAACAGACTGTTCTTGTGTGCGTCCCTAGTGCTGTCTATATCACTGATTTCAACATTGGTTCTTTTTTTTTTTTTTTTTTTTGAGATAGTCTCAAGCTGTCACCCTGGGTAGAGTGCCATGGCCTCACAGCTCACAGCAACCTCAAACTCTTGGGCTTAAGCAATTCTCTTGCCTCAGCCTCCCAAGTAGCTGGGACTACAGGAGCCTGCCACAGTGCCTGACTTTTTTTTGTTATAGTCATCATTGTTGTTTGGCATGTCCAGGCCAGGTTCGAACCTGGTATATGTAGCCAGCGCCCTAACCACTGAGCTACAGGCACTGAGCTGATAGCCTCTGTTTCCGATTTGGGCCAGTTCGCCTGTCTTTAGGTAACCTGCTGGTCCCCCACTCCTGGAAAGTCACCAGATACAACCTTAGTATGAATACCTTATCAGTATAGCACATTACAGCCCAGAACTCTCAGGCTCAAGCAATCCTCCCTCCTCTGACTCTCAAAAAGCTGGGATTATAGGCATATGCCACCATGCCCAGCTTCACACCTACTTTTTAATCTTGGATTGTTACTTCATCTGAGTATGCTAGTATACTAGTTTTTTCATTTTTCTACATTCTCTGATGTTTCTTTTTCCTTTATGGTCACATTTTCTGTTTATTTCCCCCCTGCCCCGTGTCAAGAGACCTCCTTAAATATCTAATAATCCTTAGTTGTCTGTTCATATTTAAGATGAGGCAATTGGAAAGCTGATGAGGAGTCTTGTGAACATGGGTGTGTCATTGTCCATTTCATGTTGCTATAAAGGAGTACCTGATGCTGAGTAATTTATAAAGAAAAGGGGTTTATTGAGCTCATAGTTCTGCAGGTTCAAGAAACCTGGCAGGAGCCTCTGGTCAGCTGCTGATGAGGGGTTTTGTGCTGTATCAAACCATGGTGAAGGTCAAGGGTAAGCATGCACATGTGAAGAAAGACCAAACCCAAGGGTCATCCTAACTGTATAACAGCCATTCTCAGGGGAAGTAATCCATTCCCCTCCAAATCAATAGAGTCTTGCAAGAGCAAGAATTCACTTACTACTGTAAGAAAGGCACCAAGCAATTTGTGAAGGCTCCTCCCCCATGAGCCAAACACCTCTCACCAGGCCCCATCTCCCAACACCTCTGGACTGGTCCTCCAGATTTCTACATGAGATTTGGTGGGGACAAATAAACCATGTCCAAACCATAGCACTAAGGTCTTGCTGACTTGCTCAACTTCACTATAGGGTTAGTGGGTGGGAAACTAGGTATTGTGCTAGAATAAAGAATGCTTTATTCTTAGGCATTCAATACGCATAACAGCTGACCAAATTCTCCCCAGAGATTATGAGAACACTTGATTTTTAGCTTGAGATAAATGCCTTGCTATTGTATCTGGGATACAGAGGGAGTGCTGCTGTTTCATTCTATATACAGACCTTTATTTAGTCTCCCTGTTTTTAGCCCTGCTTCTGACTCTTGCCCTCTGTCTTGTCTGTGTCTCCAAATCTTTCTAAAGCACTTCTGGGCAGATAGGCTCCCTTCCTTTCTGCAGCATCCTCTGCACCCACTCTACACTGTGGTTTCCTCCATTCGTTTTAGTCAGACCACACTTATTGGTGCACGGCAAATTAAAAATAATTATCTTCCAATTGTTGTCTTCTCATTTTCTATTCTTTGTAGGTATTTCTCATTTTTATCATCATTTTATGAGGTTTCAGGAAGAAGAGGCAATGAATGTACTCAGCCAGCTTTAGTAAAAAATTCCAAATGTAGGTTTCAAAAAGATATCTGGGGCAGGTTAGGAAACAACCAGTGCAGTGGCAAAAACAAACAAAAAAAGCTGAATCTGTGTTACTACAGTATTCCTGTGTATAACTTAGGGCTTAGCCTCTTAACCCTCTGGATTCACTTATTTTAGGGATATGATGGATCTCAGACACCTACTTCAAACTCCATTTTATAGTCAAATAGGACCCAGAGGTTACACAAGTAGACAATGGCAGAATGGAGAACAGGAAGATATACTGATTCCCAATTTGTTTCTTTTACCTTACCACACTATTGGGTATCAGGACCAGCAGGTTAGGAGTTAGATGACAGAGGTCTTGAAATATAGTGGCAGTATGGCCCTTTCTGAGTTAACAGCCGGATGTTTAAGAAACGAAAAATTTTAGGATGCCTGTCTGGCAGCACATCGTCTAACAGTTGGTGGTCATTATGTGGGAAGTACTGAAGGAGACATTATATAGCAGGCCCTGAAAAGGCAAAGATCCAAGTGTATGGCGATCCTGGGAGGGGACAATTAGAGAGTGGGCAGGATGAAACAGAAGTTGGTGAGTAATCATCCTGTACTGATGAGAGACGGGAAACTGCTCATAGGTTTTATGAAGGGGTATAAACTGGTTAATTACAGTCATGGAAGAGAAAATGATGACTCTTCACTCCTCTCAAAGGCATTTTAAATTATTTTAATAAACCCTGGGAGGCTGGGAATATAATCCACACCATTGTTACATTCTTGCTTTAGAGATACCTTATCTACATCCTTGATTTAATGGTTGTAGGTACCCTCTTTGGATGGCTCCGACAAAGAAAAACCGACTGCAATTCAGGACAGGAATACTGGGTTGCCTGAAATCTGGCACTAGTTTGGGAAAGACCCTCTGAGCGGTCCTGCGGGCTAAGTAAAACTACTAACATCCTACAGCATTTGGTACTGAGCAGGGACATTAACATCGACATTAATTTTCGCAATGCTTTCCTCTCCTGGCATAACCACTACAGAAAAACGACGTGCGCTGGTGTGGGTTTTCTGCGATGCCCGTGTGGACAGTCCAGTGCCTCAGTTCACACTACTACCTTCCGCGGCCACATTCCGTTAAAGCCAAGAGGACGTGGTGGGTGGATTCAGCTTTCTTTGGACAAAGGGTGTCCAATGCAGCCGTGAATCCGTGGTAATCCCAGAACCGCTCCGTACGGCGGTGGCCGTCCGGGGCTCGGGTAACGGGCCCGTGAAGAAGGGGGTGGGGCGACTCTAAGGTTTGGGAAAGACACCACTCTACTTCTTCGGCTTCCAGCAGTCCACTTCCTACGGCAAGCAGGAGGAGACAAACGCCGCTCCCACCTACCGCCTCTCGCAAAGTCGGCCGCAGCGCTCCCCTCCCGAGGCCGCAGGGGCCGTGCCCGTGTGAGCGCGCGTGTGTGTACATGAGTACGTTCCGCGCCCGCGGCTCTGCTTGGCGCCGACCCGCAGCTGTGGCGCCCTATCATCCCAGTTTCCCGGCCTCCAGCTAGCCGAGTCCCTGAAAGCGCCCGGAGGCCTGCGAGCACCAGAACCCAGTCCCCAGGAGGGCTAGAGAAGTCTAGGCAGCGGGCGGGGCGCGGGGCGGAGCTGGGCCCGGCGGCGGGGCTGGGGCGGGGCTAGGTGTCTCGCGCAGGGGGCGGGGCGCGGTGACGTCGCGGGCGCCCGGGCCGGGCTGTGGCTGTGGCGGCGGCGGCGGCAGGGTAGTGGCGGCGGCGGCGTCTGCGCCCGGCGGTAGCAGAGGCAACAGCGGCAGCCCTGAGGAGGGTGAGACGGACGCGGCGGCGGCAGCGCGGAAGTCGGGTGGGACCTGGAGCTTCCCGCCTGTCGCTAGCGCTGAGGCGTCTGCCTCCTGCCCGGCTTCTAGCTCACGGCCCTGGCTGGGCAGGGCAGAACGCCCCCGGGGAGGGGCGGAGCAGTAGGTGAGGCTTCAGGACCCCCTCCCCCTCCTCGCCCGACCTGGGGGTGGGGAAGTCCGGGCAGGAGCGGACCCCACCCTAACCCACCGCAGCCCACCGGCGGTCTCCACCCTGCCGCGCTCCGGGATTGGGCGGGAGCTGGCACAGTGGACGTGGGGACCGGGGCTGGAGGTGGGAGATAGGGGTTTTGGGCACTTGGAGAACGGAAGGTGGGAGGTTTAGGAGGCGTGATGTTGGAGCAAGGTAGTGAGGAGACGGAGGAACTGGGGAGCCACGAGGTTAGGGCGAGTCTGTGGGTTTAGGTGAGTGATGTAAAATGCTGAAGATGTTCTTTTCTTCTTTTTTTTTTTGGTGAAATGGTGAGATGGAAGATGAAGGGTTGTATTTCAGAAGGAAGATGAGCTGTAGAGGTTGCCTTTGAGGCAACCTGTATCGCTAGATCTCACGTTTCTACCTCAGGGTTTTTCTTTTTTTCCTAGCGGGGTGAGTGAGGGACCAGGGAGAGAAGGGAATCCCTTTGCGTTGCTGAGGTAAACTGTGAGCGTGGATGGATCTGAAGTTTTACACCCAAGAAGAGGGAGATCTTGGGAATTAGACAACTTCATTCTGGCAGCAACCCTTAGGGTATAGGTCGCATTACCCTCAGCTTCTTAAAGGTGGTGCCTTCCAGATTTTTTCCTGTGCTTAAAAGATTTCTTTATACTACCCTCAACCCCTTTTTTACGGGGGTTTTATCCTGGGCTCTTGAGAGAAGGCCTGAGACTCAGGTGGTTGCTTTGGAAGACATTTCTGAGTAATAGTTGCAGGTGGTTGCGGTTGACTGCTTTGTGGAGAAAGTGAACAATTTGAACAGTTATGTTGTAGCTAATTATATGAAAAGTGCTTTTAAAGCACAGCTGTCTTTTACAGCTCCTTACTCAGTAGACCTTGACATTTAGCTATTTTGTGTTCTACGCTAAATTATTGGAGATTATTTTTCTCAATTGCAGATGTGCGGTCCTTATTCAGTGCTTTAAAATGAAGTGGAGTTTATTTTTTATTTTTAGGTGGGCCCCTCAAATTCTGAGAAATGTTTTTGGAGTCAAGTGTTTTTAAAACATTTTGGGAGCACGTGTCTCACTTTGTAGGGAAATGTTACTAAGAGTAAACAGTGTTCCTTTGAGTTGTTCACATCAGTGTTTCACAGTTTAGCATAGTAAATCAGAAAACATCGTTTCTGAATTCCTGCTCCCTATTCGATTACAATATTCACTGACCTTACTTATCAGTGTCATTTAAGCTATTTCTTGTTCAGAAAACAGGTCCTGTGATGGACATGTATTATGTAATGAGTGGAAGTAGGCATGACTCTCAATAATTCATTTATGGAGGAAGAGAAACCACCATGAAGTGGAATTTAAGCAGTGACTATCCCAAGGTTTACCAGTTTATTTGGGAAAATAGCCAGAGAAGTGCTTTCTTTTAATCAGTGAGAGACATATACAGATGAGAGTTTCAGAAATTGCAGATCATTGACTTTTTTTTAACATGCCTATTTAATGAGCAGATTATCTTCTTTTTTTTTTTTTGTTTGAGACAGAGCCTCAAGCTGTCCCTTGGGTAGAGTGCTGTGACATCACAGCTCACAGCAGCCTCCAACTCCTGGGCTCAAGCGAGTCACCTGCCTGAGCCTCCCAAGTAGCTGGGACCACAGGCACTCGCCACAACACCCGACTATTTTTTTGGTTGCAGCTGTCATTGTTGTTTGGGAGGCCTGGGCTGGATTCGAACCCACCACCTTAGGTATGTGTGGCTGGCGCCTTAGCCTCTTGAACCACAGGCGCCAAGCCAGAGCAGATTATCTTCTAGTAAATACTTCTACTTGTAGAGACTTAAAGAAAACAGAGGATATAATAGCTATTAAGTGAGAAAGTGTGTGGTCCAATTTATAATTATAAATAAAATATTTAACTATTCAGAACAAATTAAAGGTTGGTACAGTGACTAGTGTTGATTTTGGGTTAATTAGAAGGAAAACTTAAAATTGACATACTTAATTTTGGTTTTTAAATTATATTTTGATTTAATTTATTGGGACTGGATGAAACATTTTGTGTATGTACCCTGAAATGACATTTGCATGGCTGACAGATGTGATTCTTGTAGGAATGAAATTGTATAATTTGAGGGAAAGTCTAAGGTAGAAGCTATTTCTGTTTAGAATTTCTCATGCCTGAAAAAAATCCCTGTTTTATTTTTCAAGAAATAATTGCTTGGGATTGACACCATAGCTCAGTGGTTAGGGAGCTGGCCACATACACTGGGGCTGGCGGGTTTGAGCCCAACCAGGGCCTGCTAAACAACAATGACAACTGCAACAACAACAACAACAGCAAAATAGCTGGGCGTTGTGGCAGGCATTTGTAGTCCCAGCTACTTGGGAGGCTGAGGCAAGAGAATCACTTAAGCCCAAGAGTTTGAGGTTGCTGTGAGCTGTGATGCCATGGCACTCCATCGAGGGTGACAAAGTGAGACTCTGTCTCAAATAAATAAAAATAAAAAAAAATTGAAAAAAAAATTGCTTGGTAGTTCTTACTTGTGATATCCTTGTTGAGTTTACTGAGGTATTCTTTTTCGTTTCTTTATTACTAAAATCATAGGTAAATACGCTAGTCTGTTAACTCTGCATTAATACTGGAAACTTAAAAGTGAAGGTTTTCATAGCAATAGTTGCTCTATTTTACAGTATATTTATGTTTTCAGAAGTAGTATGAAAGTTAAGTACACGTTTTACATGATGGTATCGGAAACATTGAATGGAGAAAGATCAGGGAATGAAGTATTTTGGTTAATCAAACAATAATTAGTACATTATCAATTTTAAGAGAAATGTAATGAAATAAACTTAGCATAGTATGTACAGATTATGTGGAATAAAATGTAATTCTCTGGCTCTTCAGATCTTTCAGTGTCTTAGAGTGTAGGTTTTTGGGGTCAGAGTGCCTGAATTCAAACCTTGGCTTTGCCATTGTATAACTGGGGCAAACTGTTTAACTTTATTTTCTCAACCTTAACCTTCGCCTTAATTTCTTTATCTGCAAAATGGGAATAATTAACAGTTGTACCTAAACTCTTAGGATGGTCAAATGAGTTAATTCATGTATTTAGAATAGTGCTGGCACTTAATTAGCTGGTTTGCTAACATTTATTGAAGTTTTACTATAAACACTATTCATTCACTTAATGAGTATATATTGAGCACACATTATGTACAGAATATTTTCTGTTTTTAATTTAATTTAATTTTTTTTGGTAGAGACCAGGTCTTGCTATGTTGCCCAGGCTGGCCTTAAACTCCTGGGCTCAAGTGATCCTCCTGTATTGGCCTTCCAAAGTGCTAGGATTACAGGAGTAAGCCACCGTGCCAGGCCTGTTGTATTTAATCCTTAAAACAGTAATAAACGAATAAATTACACAGTATATTAGATATTGATGAGAGAAATAAAGGAGGAGGAGAAGGAATGTGGGGGTTGAGGATACAGAAGCTTGTAAACTGTTATAAGGCCTTCAATGTTTTATTGGGAGATCCATTGTGAAGTTTTTAGTAGAGGGATGATATAATCTGACTTATGTTTTAAATGAATTGCTGTGGCTATTTTGTGGGAACTTTGAGCAGGGATGCAAGATAGAAGCAAGGACACTAGTCAAGAGGTTATGTTGTGCTGTTCTGGGTTAGAGTAGCTTTTTAACCAAGGTGATGGAAGGTGAAATGGTAGAAGTGGTTAGAGTTTGGATGTATTTTGACGATAGACTTGTAATGTTTGCTGGTAATTGGATGTGGAATATGAACAGAACAAAAGAATAAAAGAATAAGGATTTTGGCCTGAGCAACTGGAAGAATGAAATTGCCTGTAACTGAAATGGAGACGGTGGTTGGTGGAGCACATTTGGGGAGAAACTAGAATTTCAGGAGAATGTCTAGGAAAAGTGAGAAATTTGGTTATTTTCAGTTTATAGGTGGTATTTAAAATTATGAAGCAAGTGAGATCATCAGGGGAGGGAATTTAGGTAGAGAAGAGATTCAAGCATCTGAGCCTTGGGACACCGATTTATTCATCCAACCGTTGCTTGATTTGCACATATAATCAGATGGTTTGCTAACATTTAAAATTTTACTGTGTGGCTCGGTGCTTGTAGCTTAGCGGCTAGGGCGCCAGCCGCATACACCAGAGCTGGTAGGTTTGAATCCAGCCCATGCCTGCCAGTAACAATGACATCTACAACCAAAAAAAAAGTAAATAGCTGGGCATTGTGGTGATTACCTATAGTCCCAGTTACTTGGGAGGCTGAGACAAGAGAATCACTTGAGCCCAAGAATTTGAGGTTGATGTGAGCTGTGATGCCACGGTACTCTATCCAGGGCAACATATCTCAAAAAAAAAAAATTAAATTTTACTATTTATTCATTCCCTTAATGAGTATATATTGAGCACATACTATATACAGAGTATTCTATTTTTTAAATTTTATTTTATTTTGATAGAAACCAGGTCTTGCTGTATTGCCCTGGCTGGTCTTGAACAAAACACAAATCTCCACCTTCATGGAACTTACCTTCTAGATACACTGTGGGAAACAAGGAGGAACCCAGTAGAGGAGATTTAGAAGAAGTTATTGAATTAGGAGGAAAACCAGGGGATTGTGGTGATGTACTGGAAGTGAAGGAGAGGAAATTTTCAAGGAGAAGGGAATGATCAACTGTGTCATTGTTTAAGGATGTGTCAGAGGGCTGAGTAACAGAGAATTCTGGTTGTTATAATGCCTACTAACAGAGAAATGACTAAATAGCTTTTGTATGAGAAAGATGAGGCAAATGTAAGAATCTTTCAGTTTTTTACTTCCCTGGATTGTTTTTAGTCAGGCACAGTGGTGTGTGCCTATATTCCCGGCTTCTCAGGAGGCTGAGGTCAGAGGATCACTTGAGCTTAGGGATTTGAGGCTGTAGTGCTCTATTCACACCTGTG